CTTTGTTAGATTTACTGTGTTTGTATCGCGAATGCAAAAAAACCTGGCAGTTTTGTTTGGTAGGGTAAGGGCATATGTAGTTTTCGTTGCGTAGTTCGTTAAAGTGGAACTTGCATAGGTGTGGGTGCCTTTCATTTGAAATTAATATCAGGGTGTTTAGATATACTTCAGGCAGATTTTGTGCACGTAGTTAGAGTGCTATGTAATTTTTCACATGTACTTTATATTTTAACAAACCGCAGGAAGGTGGCTTTGGAATTCAAGTACGATGTTTGCCGATTAATTGCGTGAGAAAAGTTGCGGGCGCCAGTCTGGAAGAAGATACGCCAGAATTAATGTGTTATACGTGTCAGTTTTTGATGAGTTGGTTCCGTTTCGTTACGGAACCCGAGAACCGCGTACCGGTTCTGACAGAGCTTGTAAAAAAACTGACGCAGTGGTTTCGGGCTAATTGCTTTCCTAAACGTTGGATGTTGGATTGGTACAGAACGATGAAGTTGATTGGTTGAAGGAATAAAGATAGCCGCTGACACCGATCAGCAGCCATTTGGAGGGTGTGGTTGTAAAAAAGGGAAAAGTGGGGATAAAGCCAAAGAGGCATTTACGAAGGGGCTCAATTAGGATAGCGATAAAAAAGTATGTATTCACGGGTGAGTGCGTGTCAAGAAGTTAAGGATACGCAACGGGTTATCATGTATCCATAGAAGTTATGTCTTATAGTTACCTTCAACGCACCTTCAGTGCAATGGTTTACGTTAATTTAGAGCAAGAAAAAAGTGTTAACAAGTTAGTTTTTTAATTATCGACATTCACCCGTTTTTTTGTACACAAAGTCAAAGCGAGCGTACAGATTTGCAATTGAAAAGAGGAATTTCATTAAACTTCGTTCCGTTTCGTATTTTTAAGAAAAAAGTCATTACAGAAACCGTTGGTAAACAACTTTTAATTATTTTATAAAAGCATTTTCATATCAGTACATCACTTCCAGATTACGGTTCCGTTTTTATATATACTCGTATATAGTCATTAATTCTGTTTATTCCGGCTGGACGTTTTATCATCGCGCCCGCATTTCTTTTATATTGGAATTCTTGTTGTTTGCACCGCGAATATTAAGCAGCGGATTCATTTCCGATTTTGTCTTTTTTTGTTTTTGACGTACAAACGCCAGCCATCATTTACAGTTGAATGCTTTCCGTTTGTATTGATTTTATTTAACGTTTGCAATGCTCATCTTTAATCCAATGGAAATATTGCTTCTATCTGGATAAGCGAGTCGAGGGATGAATGGTGAAATACGAATTTAAACATTTCTGCAAACAATGGTGCGAAATTAAGGGTGTATCTAGGAATGGATTTAAATTAAAGCAAAAATGAGAACCAACCCAACAATGAACTTGCGGCGAAATACAATTCTGTGTTTTCGTAAAAAGTCGGGGCTCATTTTTTACCTCCCTTACTAATGTGCGGGTGGTAAAAATCAGGCCCCCAGGTACATTCTACCGAGACTCGTGTCCCCTTCGCCCATCAAGTATTCACTTCCAAATACATATAAATTGACAACAGTAAATCGTTTTGGCCGAGACAAAATTGTTGGTCTACTATTGGTTTAAAAGTGACGCCGATCGTGGAATTTCGTTGGTTCCGTGTTGACTTTAATATAAATAGCAAAAGGCACAGCAAGCTGATGAGAGATGTAGCGTATACACCTCTTCCGCACGTTTTAAACTGTTGCAAAAGTACAATTAACGAATAATTAGCGGTTGAGTGAACACGATTAAGGTGTAAAGTTCGGGGAAGCGATTTAATTGGTAAACGTGCAGTTCTTTTTCGATGTTCAAATGTTAAACAAAATGCGACGTGGAAATTAATCTGTTAAAAAATGGCGTGTAAACGGCGTTTCTGCTATACCTTACCATGCATAAAAAAAACATAGCTGAAATCGGTTTTGCGTTGGTTCCGTTTCGGCGAGTACTTAAGTGAAATTCGGGTAAATTTATGTTCAACTGTAAATACAGTGCGAATACAGTACGTACATGAACACTTGGGTGTTATTACATTATCGGAGTAGCGTGCTCGCATTTAATTACATAAATTGTTACCACGAAAGCGTTGTGGTACAAAGTGGAGAACGTACATTGGGTCTATATTTGGAGCAGTTAGACGATTAAAACAAGTTTGTTAATCAAAACTGTGCAAACGCCAACCAGTAAAAAAGTTTAAAGACAATTAATTCGTGCTTTTGCTAGCTGTTAAACTTTAGTTTTATAGGGGTAATTTTTTTCTCTGCTCGGGACATTAGTCAATTAAGTCAACTATTAAAGTTCGGGAAACCTGAAGCCCATAGTTTGTTTCGGATTCAAATTGTCATACTTCTTTCGATATTCACTTGCAACGAGCAGTCAAGTTTCCAGGTGATACAAAAAGTCCGATTGTATTACATAAACGTTCCAACACCCAATTTTCAGAATGTCGGCTAACTTTCACAAGGAGAGAAACAACCAGCAATGGGAGAAAACTTTGTCTCGGCGATAAACGTAAGTTATTTTGAATGTTTGTATTGTGTAAAAATATGATCCGATCGTTTTGGGGATTTTATATAAAAGATTTATGCTGAAAGTCAATTTAAAATTCCTGAAGAAGTCGACCCACGGGAGTATATTCCGTGAACAAATCTGTTTTTAATAAATGATAAGCGAACCCAAACAAAAGATTGTGGTGATTTATTCTGATTAATTGTTTAGTGATAAGTACGATTCTTTTGTGTGGGTTAAAATTTTATGTAGGGTATTGGAATAATTACAAATAGTCAAAGAAATTTAGATAATTAATTAGATATCGACGTGAACACGAGATAGACTTGAAATTTTTATTCATATTAGTGAAATTACGAAAAATGTAAAAAAAAGTTGAGTTTGTAACAATATATGCAAACAACTCAATTCACATGAGCATATATTTGTGAGTGATTAAACCAGAGCATCAGGTTTTATTTATCAGATTAAAGTGGATCTCCGCAAGGTACAAATCATTAAAAGTTTTACCGACCTAGCCGTGGTATTACTTATTTCATTAATAGTTTATTTATTTATTTATTTATTTATTTATTTATTTATTTATTTATTTATTTATTTATTTATTTATTTATTTATTTATTTATTTTTATTTATTTATTTCTTTATTTCTTTATTTCTTTATTTATTTATTTATTATCCCCTCAACAGGCGCCCAATTACAGAGTGCTTTATAGAGGTGCCCCTGCAGAAGGTCTCTTAAGTTGTTCTATACTGCTCCGGTATTTACCTTACGAATTAAGAAAACTGCAAGAAAACCTAATTCGGAGTAGCCGACACTGATCTAAGGAAATATCCATCTCTATCACAGATGAAAAATTCTTACCTCAGCCCAGGTTCGAACACCCGACCTCCGGCTATATAGCCCAACGCAATACCATACCACTGAGCTACATAGTCGGTTACAGTAAAAATTGTATCAGTGCCGTAGAGATTAAAATTCACGTTCTACGAATGGGGTTTCCAGCTAACTAAGCCGTTACACGGAGAGGTAATACAGAATGGTTTCTTTCTGAGGGGATATCCGGAAAGAAGACTAATTTCCGCGAATTGCATTTATCAATGTAAACGCGTCAATATTTCCGAATACGGCAATCGCATATTTAAAGTTATCTATATCAAATTCCGACAAAAAAGAAAACTTTTTTAGATTGCGTGGTTACCTTTCGCAACCATATAACAAAAGAAAGTTCGACGAATCGATATTGCTAAAGTGTGGAATTAATAGAATTAAGATAACCGGGTAAAATTGACTTGTGGTACGCTTTGCGGATAATCGCGCATCTTTTTATTAACAATGCGAGTAGGAACACATCAACCCAGATCTTTGATCTGGCGAAGATTATGATCATTACATTGGAAACATATTTAATCTGGGACGAGTAATATTGTCTTCCACTGTCAACACTGTTGGAGTTGGTACATTATTTCGAGAAGAAGCTGCAATTACCAAAGATCGCCGACCTTGCCTAGGGTAATGTATTCATCACGCAGGAATCTTTAAGTTTAACACTGTACATTTAAGTACGATTATTATTTATAAAAAGAGGAATTCAACATAATTAAGTCAAGTTAGATGTAAAAGGAGAACCTTCTGTACAATATTAAATCCATAAGATTCCTCATAGGTATATTTCAATGTATGCAAAGTATTTTTGAACTAGTTGGTTTTCCTCGCAAACTTTTTAGAGCAAAAGTACAAATGCGGCACTAACCGAGGCACAGAGTTTGTGCCAACAAAGTTTTCAACACATCAAAAAAATGCGAAAGAACAAACTTTATATGTCACATTCAAGCCAAAAAAAGTCATCATTAATTTTAGGAATTAAGCGAGACACATCAATTACCCCTAATCAAAATGCGGTAATAACTTGCGCTAATGAGAAATGGCTGAACCAGTACTACCCTTTTCTATAGCGGGCTGTGTTCGAGGTTCGTTTTGTATGTCGTTCGCAAACTAATGATAAATTTCGCTGTCACAATTTCACTCTAAATTATAACTTTTACAAACACTCGTTACTTTCGCAGCGTGATACCTTTCTCGTATTAATTATCGTTATCAATCACTCGTAGCCTCTTTCGTAAAACGAGGGCCATTTGTTTTATTTTTCGAACACGCAACCCGAAGGCTAACTTGTTCGGAAAACTTATTTAAAAAGTTTTCGCTTTTAATATTTCTTAAATGATGCGAGTCAATTCTCCAAGCTCGCAAAAATAAAAGCAAAACGTTGCGCCATACGTCCAACGAAACTTTGCGATATAAAGTTTGGGTCCTTTGTGTGCACTTGAAACTTCTCGAAGATGTTTCTGTATTAAAAGTTAAACAAAGAGATTATGTGTGGGGAAAGTTCGCCCTACGCGCTTTCGTGGCGATAGTGCACAACCCCTACGCGGAACATAAATTTTAATTAATGTACTCATAACTACCTGTTGCGGTAATCGCTCCAAGTGTAACGTTAGATTAACACTCGATGTTTCGCTATAATAAACTGTATAACCCCAAGCACTTCCACACCATTTTCCAGCCGAATTTGGACGTCCCAATTCCCTCACGGAAACGTAACCGTCGGGGCAGCCGTCTGAGGTAAACGACTCGAATGTCCCAACGGCAAAAGACTCGAACGTCAGCTAAAATCGGCGATTAACCCCTAACTAATTAAAACATCAACGTCGTGTACCTGAACCAAGTCCCCTAACGAGCCTCCGCCAGCGGTGAAATTGAGAAAACAGAGGAACGGGATTTGATTGTCACGAGGATGCTTCACCTCCAGTTCGTAGGTGTACCCAACGTCGCCGTAATAAGTCAAATTGCAGGCTAATTTGAAATTATAAATTAACGCCTGTGAGGAAATTAGAGGGTGCACTTACGTGTACAATTCGGAGGTTCATCGCTTCGATCTTCGCACTCCTCAATTCCATTGCAATACCGGTCCAAACCGATGCATTGGTGGTTTTGGCATGCAAACTCCGAACGACGGCACGGGGTTGTAAAAACAAACTTTTGAATTGCAATGAGATAGATCATTAGCGTGAGCATTCTAGAGTCGTGTAAAAAAAGAGAGGCAAAACGCACTTCGAATTATAAATGTACGCCACGGTCGTACCTAATCATCGTACAGATAATTCACATTAATTGCCACTAAAAGCAAAAGACGACGGGTAAACAATAAAATTTTAAGTATAAGCTAAGTAAATCTGAGTGCATGATTTGCAGTCGTAGTGCGGAATAAACAGGGAGTAAAATGGATTCGTTAAGGGTGAGCGATGCGCAAGGACGTCGCGCATTTCTAAAACCCGATCGAAGCTCATGCAAGGTTCATAAAAATTTCAATGCCCTGGGGAACTACGGAGAGGTATGCCGATTACGATAAACGGAATAGTAATCAAACTAATCCCCCGACATAAATTCACCTACCTACAACAGAACTTAGCGCCATTAAGTGAAATTATCCATCATTCTTTTTTCCATTTTGATTGAACCCCAAATGGATAAAGTTTTACGTTCGTCACTATAAATATGTAATTATCCTCATTTTCTCTTCCAAATATAGTCGCTAGTCGGGAATGTACAATTCGTGCAGCAATTTTGAAGCTAACACAGAAGACAATTCCAGGAAGTCAAAAGATTGACTGAAGTGAAACTAATGAAAAAGTGCAAAGTGAGGAATTTCTCAATTTTTCCAAAAAAAATCACGAAAAGAACCATCGATCTCGAACCTTCGGGAATCGATTTCAATGGAAATCGCCTCTTGATTCTTTGTATCTTGTTTAACTTGTAAGATATTGAACAATTTAATTGTCGACGAGACTAACTTATACGGCTTCGCTATGACATAAGGACAACAAAACTTTGAACATTTTTGTATGTTCAGAAATTGAATTGTTCCGTAATATCAATTTTTTGGGAACGCACCTCATATGCGCCTAATCGGTCACACACTCGAAAAGGAAACTATGATGGAAACGGTTTGAACATGTTTCACGCCCAGGGGCCGCTCAGAGTGACTTTTACAAAGGAGTATGAAGCCGTCAGCGAGGAATTCAAGTAAATGAACCCGTAATTAAAATTAGTGCAAAAGCCGTCGGTCAATTACAATTGTAGGAATGTAAATAATCGCATGCCGAAAAAACCGCGCAAATATTCAACACGGAAGTGTTGTACGTGACGGATTTTAAAATAAATCAACGAGAAAAAACCGCATTAGTGATAACGTGTGTGGTCTGTAAATAAACATTACGAAAGGAATATTGTGTACAAAACTTTAAATTTATTTGGTTTTCCCTTGCCTTGCGCAGTTCAATTTATTTTATTTTTGTGGAAAGAGAATGTGGATTGTATGATTTTGATTTGTAATCGTCGAACAATATACACGATTTTGAACCAGCAAAACATGATCCTAACGAGCCGGATTTGTATTACTTATTACAATTGTAATAAGCGTTAATCATTACGCGAAGTATTTGGATAATCATTACGCGAAGTGTATTTCTCGTTCTCGCTCTTGCTCGTATATTCTTTAGTTCCTCGCATCAAGATAGCCGTCCAGGTGTTGCAGTCACGCAAGGCCACTACGAAGATACCGGCCAACAAAACATCTCGTCCTCGTCTCGTTATCACCAGAAATTCTATCCAACAGCGCGATAAGTCCCAGGCTTTATTCTTCACGAGTGATTAGGAAGTTGCAAGAGTTTACTTCATCACTAGCAGTAGCACCATCGAATACGCATCAACATAAGGTCAGATCATTCCTTTTTTTACATTATTATTTCCTTATCACACGTACCTGTCTTTACCATGCCGAATAAAAAAGAACAACTTTCAGTTTCAAGTTTGGAGCTAAGCGCAACTCTAATTGAAGATTTGCAGCGATTAAAAAACAAACGCTCCTATTTAAAAAAACAACTTACCATTTTGCAAAATTATTTAGACGAACCAGATTCTGACAGTTGTAAGAATAAGGTTCAGAAACAATTCGAAGTTTGCGAAAGAGCTATTGATTCTTTTGAATCATTTTTGGAAAGCATATTCGATGCTGACCATGACGATTTGTTTGATGAGTTTTTTTCAGAAAAGTCCGAGACGGATACATTTTTCGGCGTCTTAAAGACTAAAGTTATTTCAAAATTTGGCAAAGATAATCCGTCCACAATTACGGACACTTCTCCTATCGAACGCAAATTGGCACGCTTGCCTCGTATTAATTTAACATCATTCTCGGGAAAATACGAAGAATGGTTAAGTTTCCGCGACTCTTTTCACTCTCTAATCGATTCGAATAAGTCACTAACAACAATTGAAAAATTTCAATATTTAAAAGGTGCTGTAATTGGCGAAGCAGCAGCCGTCATAAAATGTTTGGAAACATCTGAGACTAATTATGATCAAGCCAAAGATTTACTAAAAAGTAGATATGAAAATAAACGCGTCATTATCAGTAATCACATTAAAGCTCTTTTTGAATTGCCTGTAGTTACAAGAGAATCGCACGATAATTTTCGCAACATGCTCGATTCCATTTTGCAGCACACACGTGCGTTAAAAGCAATGGGTCGCCCGGTAGAAGGTTACGATGACTTTCTGATTTATTTAATCACATCAAAATTCCCATTTTCGACACGTAAGGAATGGGAAGATAAGGGTAAGGTTTCCGAATTGCCTACTTTACAATTACTAACGGATTTTTTGCTGCAAAAATGTCACACTTTAGAAACAATACACGCAAATGAAGTTACTTTTCATCCAAATAAACAAATTGCCTCTCACAATATCAAGCGTTTCTCGAATAGTGCGAATTGTATTCTCAATACAAACATTTACTGTAACATTTGCAAGAGAGCTGATCATTTTGCCAGTCAGTGTCCAATTTTGTTGGATTTACCTGTGAACAATCGTATTTTGAAGGTTAAAGAAAGAAATTTATGTATAAACTGCTTAAGGGTAGGTCACAAATCAAGAGAGTGTAAATCTTCCCGATGCAAAAAATGCAATGGTGCTCACAATACCATTTTGCACATAAACCCTAACATAGAACATTCAGAAGGGCAATCTAGTAAACAGCCAGCGGCTGTAAATGTAACCGTTGAATCTTCTTCCTTGCATTTATCTAATTTAACCCATGTACCTTCCAACGTGGTTTTATCAACATGCTTACTACAGATCAAAGGTAATGACGGGGTTTTTATAGATGCACGTGCAATACTGGATTCTGGATCTCAAATTAATATTATATCCACGAAATTGTGCAAAAGGTTGGGATTAATATCAAATACAGTTGAGCTATCTATAACAGGCGTTTGCAACAAGTTTACAAAATGTAATCATATCACAACGTCACAAATTAGGTCAAAATATGGCAATTTCTCTATCAATTTAAATTTGTATGTGTTAGATTATATCAGGAGTTATTTACCCACGAATTTGTTCAATAAGATTAACGTAAATTTACCTCAAAACACTTTCCTCGCGGATCCTGATTACAATATGGGCGGTGAAATAGATCTACTTATAGGGGCGGAAATATTTTACAGTTTACTTTTAGATGGGATAATTCACGCACAGCCAAAAGGATTAATACTAAAAGAAACAGTTTTCGGTTGGATAATTTCAGGTAGCATATCAGCTCCTAGGCCAAATAAATTAGCCTCGTGTAATTTAACTACGTTGCAAGAGTTAAACGAAAAGATCTCGGCATTTTGGGAAGTTGAAAGAGTTCCTAATATTCAAATAAGGTCCTTCGAAGAACAAAGATGTGAAACGCATTTTCAAAAAACAATTACTCGTGATTCCAGTGGTAGATTTGTAGCGTCTCTCCCTTGGACGACGAACCCAAAGTTGTTAGGGCATTCGCTAGAAATTGCTAAAAAAACGTTTTCTAAATTTAGAGCGCAGGTTACTAAATCACAACGAGGAAAAATTAGAGTACGATAAGTTTTTGTGTGAGTATTTGCAATTAGGTCATATGCGCGAAATGGGAACCATTGAAAACGCGAATGATGGTTTTGGTTATTTTTTGCCACACCACGCAGTCTATAAAGCCGATAGTTTAACCACGAAAACAAGGGTTGTTTTCGACGCGTCTTCAAAAACGTCTACGGGCGTCTCGTTAAAATGATCTTTTAATGACTGGCCCGGTAATCCAAAGCGATTTATTTAGTATCTTAATTAGATTTCGATTCCACAAATACGTTGTAACTGCAGACATCAGCAAGATGTATCGGCAGATATTGATTAATCCCGATGACACAAAATTTCAACAAATTTTGTATCGTTTTGAGCACAGTGAGCCGATAAAGGCATTTGAATTACTTACATTAACTTATGGGACGCGACCGGCATCATTTATTGCAACTCGATGTTTAAAAGAATTGGCTCTAGCAATTGAAGATCAACCGCGAATTCAGAAAATTATCATGGAAGATTTTTACATGGATGATCTTATCACAGGGGCGGATAACCCCCAAGAATTAGTCTTTATCCGTGATAAGGTAAATCATATACTTTCGGAAGCAGGATTTCATTTACGCAAATGGGCGTCAAACAATCCAGACGTTTTAAATGGGTTTCATATGACTAACGTCACAAATTTAATATTGAACCTTAATCACGATGAATCTTTAAAAACATTAGGGGTAGGTTGGGCTCCTTCTTCAGACCTGATCCAATATAATGCGCATATGAATTCTACGAGATCAATCGTAACAAAACGGTTCATTTTAGCTAACGTCTCACAAATCTTTGATCCCTTAGGTCTTGTAGGTCCAGTCACGGTTATGGCAAAGCTGCTTATGCAGGACATTTGGAAATTACGCATTGGTTGGGATGTGGAGCTCTCGCAAAATTTAAAGCATCGTTGGGAGGAGATTTCAAGTCAATTACTTACCATTGGGGTAATAAAAATTACGCGATGCGTGGCAACAGATCCTACCTCCAGTTTAGAATTACACGGATTTTCAGACCCCAGTGTAAGGGCGTACGGTGCCTGTATCTATATCAGGGAAATTTTAGTAGATAATTCGGTACGATGCCAACTGCTATGCGCTAAATCACGTGTAGCGCCGCTGAAAACTTTAACTTTGCCAAAATTAGAACTATGCGCTGCTCTACTACTAACTGATTTAGTTGATAAGGTTTTAAATTCATCGCGAAAAGAATTTGCACGAGTTATATATTATTGCGATTCAACAATCACTTTGTCTTGGATAAAGGGTTGTCCAAGTAGATGGAAGGTTTTCGTTG